GTCTGAAGTGGACCCAAGGCATACCGTTTCTGCCATCACCTTGAACGATGGGAAAAACTTTGATGGCCCAAGACTGCAAGTAGAAGACGGGGAAGAAGAGGAAGAAGTAGAAGTGGAGAAGGTTGTCGAGGAAGAAGTGGAAATTAAGAATGCTGACATGTAAGTTGTAGAGGAGCTGTTGGAGGTTGACAAAAAAGAGGTTGAGCCACCCACTACCAATGAGACACTCCTTTCACCGGTAGACCAACCACAAGAGTCGAAAACGATAAATTTGTTGGACCCTTCAAGAGATATGTATCCCGAGAAAGAAGACACCCAACCGGTCATCAAATCGACCACCTTATCAAAGAAGGAAGATTTGACCACCTTACTGGACAAGTACAAGAAAGGGGTCGGTTGGACGATTGTTGTCATTAAGGGTCTAAGTCCAACATGGTTCCCATGCAAAAAGAAAGCATAGGAGCTGGGCCCCTTCGGGTGGGATCGTTGTTTCAGCGAAAGCTGATTCGCCGTGACGGGTTCTTAAGGATGCGTTGATTCTCATTCTTGGCCATCTAGTCTTAAGGACATGAGATCCGGACTGTGTTATTTTCGCCCATAAAGCTAATTAAGGTGTGAAGTTTACATAAAACTATGGTTGGATTATTGGGTCACACCGTTTCGGGTCTTCCTCACTTTGGGAGTATGTGATATGTGGAAGGAAGTGGGATGGTTTCCTAGGTATTAAGGATTGGAGCCACATTGATGTAAAGCCTGATCGTACTTATATAGATAAATTACTTGTGTTCTTAAATTTCTCTTTGGTTCATTTTGTTTCTTTAGTGCTTTTGTACATATTTTTCTTTTTCATGGTTTTCATTGCATGCATTCATTCCTAGCCCTTAGGATCTTTCCGTCCCTTTTTGTTCTATGTTTCTTTTTGCCATCTAGAAATTGTCCCGTTTCGTCTGATTCTTGTTCTTTCTTGAGGACAAGAAAGGTCTAAGCTTGGGGAGATTTGTTAGGTGCATTTTGTGCACCTTTTTGCACACCTTTTAGTCCCTTTTTATGCATGTATTTAGCTTAGTTATTCTTCATTCTTCTTGCATTTTATCATATTCATGTTAGTCTCTAGAACGACCTTATTTGCACACTTTCATGTCCTTTTCAGGTAAACCGGAGGTTGGAGCGCGCTATTGGAGGTGCCAGGAAGCATGGGTGAAGATTTCGGGATGATCGGATGCAAAACGGAAAAGTTGGAAAAATCAAGTTTGGATTCGGAGTCAGAGGAGTACACGGGTCGTGTTGGATTTGCACTGAAAAGTGGGCATGGGGGGTGTTTGACCAAGAAGAAGCTGTTAACCATGCTGAACACGGGCCGTATCAGTTTAGCCTATTTCAACACGGGCCGTGTTGGCTGATGAACACGACCCGTGTCAGTTTAGCCTATTTCAACACGGGCTGTGTTCGACCCAAAAACTGCCTTTTGACAGTTTTTTCTATCTTTCGTATTACGGGATTAGGGTCATTTATATACTAACACAACATATCAGAGCACATTTTGAGAGGGGATTTCGAAGGTTATTGCAAGGGTTTGACCAGTAATCATTTGGAAACATTATTTCTAGTATTTGTAAGTTGTAACTGCACATTATTTCCATCTTTTATTCTTGTGATCTTGTTCTAGCCATGTGTGGCTAGAACCCTAGTTTCTCCAATTTCATGTTTTGACTTCTTGGTAGTGATCTCAATCATATGACATGATGTTTGTTTTCAATTTCTATCTAATGAATTTGATTTTGCTTCAATCGAATGTTTGATTCTAATTGTGATTCTTATTGACCATTTGAATTAGGGTTAGGCCATTCAAGTTATCTATTTTGCAAAATCCATAATTGTTTTGTGAAATTGACAAGTAACAAGCACTAAATTGAATTCTTTTGAATAAATATAGTGTAAATCTTATTCATACACTCTTACACTCCCGAGCTTGTGAGGAGCATTGGGTGTTGTTGGGAACATTCACATAAAGCTTAAAGCAATCTTTTAATCTAATTCCAAGAGCTTGTTTAGATTAGGTTAGTAAGGTTAGGGTTAATCAAAGATCTTGTTTTGGTTAATTAATGTGGTGAATGGGAAGTGTTAGAGCTTATTAACATTTTCAAGTACAAACTTAGATAGAACTGAACAAATATCGTGTCATCTTTGAATCACATTGCTAAGTTGTCATACATGAAGTTGGAGTTCTTACAAAATCTGAATTTAATTCACTCATTTAGCTGATTACTTCTGCTTTCAATTTATTTGTTTAATCATTGCATTCAACCCCCCCTTTTAATCTTTTGTGACCATAGTACCTTGCGCAAAGAGGTATAGAATAGTTATCCCGTGACTCTCTGGATCGACCCTTTTTGCCTTATACTACCCTTTAGTGCAATATAGTAGTGTATTTGGAGTCTATTGTACCCCTTTATTTGTTGGGTTTGACACGCCTAACAGTTTCTATCTATGGTTTGTAGCAATCAAATCGAAATGGTATTGATTCGTTCTGGATTTGACTGCGATTAACGAAATCAAACAAACTGTTGGATGTGAAGCAAGGTGTAAACAAAGATGGGAAGACAATCCTCTTGGGTGAAAATTCTTAAAAAAGTACCATTTCGATTGACAAAATGGTTAAAATTCTTTAAAAAGGTTAATTTGAAGATTTCTAAATAACTTGTATCATTTCAGATATTGACCCTTTGGTATAGAGCTCCAAAAGTCATTTTTGGTGCTACTCATTATTCTACAGCTGTTGACATGTGGTCTGTTGGCTGCATATTGGGTACTCATTCTTTCTGAATTAATTAAGGCTGTTATGTATTAAGTCAAAAAAACACTAATGTGTTCTTCAAATTTGAAGACAACAGTAGTCAGAACACAGCGATGACATTGTTACCACCTACACATACTATGATTATACTTCTGGATTCATCCATCATTGCAATCTTACTGATTTGGAGGTACTGATTTTTATTTCTACTACCAAACTTTCTTATAATTCATCAACATTTAGGATCTTTACCCTAATTAAAAGAAAATTTTGTTTGGAATCATATTGATTAGTACTGTTTTGCAGCATGATACAATTATGTTTCAACTATTTTTTAAAGGTATATACACATTATATCATCCTACTTTGCAAATCTGCAATAGGATCCCAATATTTGACTTTACCGGTTAGACTTTGGCCAAAAAATTACTTCTTCGTCTCTTAATCTTTGGCTTAAGCCACTGAGTTTGTTATTCCACAAACAAGATTTTAAAACAATAATTTTTTTAATTGTTCGTAACAAACTATGTTGACCAAGTCTATTATTATAAATTTATTTTAAGTTTAGATAACAAACTATGTTGACCAAGTCTATTATTGTCAATTTGTTTTAAATTTAAATGTAATCTCCTTAATTTTTGGCTTAAGTCACTGAGTTTATTATTCCACAAACAAGATTTTATAACAATAATTTTTTTATTGTTCGTAACAAACTATGTTGACCAAGTCTATTATTGTCAATTTGTTTTAAACTTAAATAACAAACTATGCTGACCAACTCTATTATTGTCAATTTGTTTTAAGTTTAAATGTAATTTCCTTATGCCCAATGGTATAATTGTCAACACGAGCACATGCTCTACAAATTTTAATTTTTTTCATGAATCTTATATTATTATTTATACAGATTATCATTCCAATTATACCGTCAATCATAAACACTTTCCAAAATAATTATATGTATATTTATCATGTTTCAATACATAGAATCCAAACATTTATGATTAAATCGTTTAATAAGAAAATATCATCTTTAAATCTTTTCAAATTCATGCACCCTTATCAATTTCAAATCCGGTCATTTAATTATATCTTATTAATTATGAATGTAAATCATATATTTTTTTATAACTATTTTAACTTAATATAATACCAGGACTCATGTTTTCCAATTATACATTTTTCCATATTTTGTTATGATATATAGATATAGATATCTTATAAAATCATACCTTTTTCCATATTTAATTTAATCTTATTAAAAAAGATTTAATTCATCTATTTTTGATATATATTTTTATTTAATATAAAATCACGACACATGTTTTCCAATTATATCTCTACATTTGTTAACCAACTTTAATTCGTTATTATCTTCACCAATATTCTTTAATTCAATTCTTTGTATAATCATGAGGACTATTATAGATGCTTCAACAACTCTATTTGCTAGAGGTATTTGCAAAACTGTTATTTCCATATGTTCAACAAATGGACATTGCTTACTTTTGATTTATTACCATATCACATTAGACAAACATCACAATTGCAGATGCGTTCATTAAAATTAATAAGATATAAGTTTTTTTTAGACTGTTATACTAATTATTTTAAATTAATATATATTTTTATTTTAATATTTGATATATGTTATGTATGTTAGGACATTTAATATAATTATGCCCTATAGAACATAATAATTTTAAGATCCATTTATAGGTTAAAATCTGTGTAATACACATGTTGATAACATAAATGAGCAAAAATAACAACGTTCTGTTGAAAGTATGTTACTATAAATAACATAAATTGTTCATGTTACTATTTTTTGTTAATAATTATTTCTATAGTTTTTAAAACTCAATAAAATTATATATTTCGGGACATAACCCTAAAATAACAATCGAAATTATATAGGTATTGTTCATAACCCTAAAATAATAAAGTATACTTCGAAATTAAAAAAAAACAAATAATATTTAAATAATAAATTCCAAAGACGTTTGTATGTTTTTAATGCGTTCCTCTGCGTTTAACACGGGTTATAATCTAGTTATTTATATATGAGAAAAACTATTAATTTCTTGTCTTGGTAATGTAATTCTAGCCTTCTACTTAAAACCAATTTTTTTTTTTTTTTTTAGCTATTTTTGTTTTTTTTTCTTTATTTTACTCGGTGATTGGGAACGGACAGACGGGTTATTTACGTTTTGTTTGGTCAATGGTGTCTTCAACACTGACAGATCTGATAATCATGATTAACATGCTTTAATCTTCACTCATCAGTTCTCGGTCACCCTTCCAACAATGGTGAATACGCAACGTTGGTGGCTGCGAGGAGGAGGAGGAGGCCGGAGTTATATAATGATTTTGTGGCAAAGATGGGGGAAACGTGAATGGGCCATTGCCGCAGCTGGATTTGCCATTGTTCTTATAGCTTTATCTTTCATCCTTTCATCAGATTCATCCTCCCCCGATCAATTCTCCGGCACCACCGACACTGATTTCGTACCGCTCGTTCTCTTAAGCAATGCTGTTCAACGAGGCGCCTGTAATTCTTTTCTCTCTGCAACTTATTTACCTGTGAATTAGAGATACGTTTGAATGTGGTGGTTAACTTTTGAACTTCTTAAACCCCAAACCTGTAAGCAATCATTAAATTTTGAAGCAGATATAAATATTAGCAATTAGTTAATGGTAATTTTTGTACAAGGAGTAGAATAGGGTTTGTACCCTGATGATGCATTGATTGAGTGATAGTGAATGAAGCATAACATTACTTCTCTTTGCAAAATTTGACATGCAGATTGTTTAGATGGAAGTATTCCTGCATATCATTTTCAGAAGGGTTTTGGATCTGGCTCTAGGAGATGGGTTCTACACATCGAGGTTATTGATCAACTATTAGATGCTTGCTCCCTTTACCCAAACAGTTTTAGCGTTTATGGTTGATGAATGATATTATTTGATTAAACCTTGGTATGTGCTTTTTTCTAGTAGAGAATACGATAAATTACAATTAAACTACTGAGTCGAAGTTATTGGGCATGTCCACTTTTTGATAGCTTTTCATTTTCCATGACAATTATTGTTGGTATCTTCCTCATTTGTTTATGGTGATCTTATTGGCATACAGGGGTTTGCTCCTAGGATTGTGTAGATTTAAGTTCTTTTTGCAAGTTTTCAGGACTCATCTCTTCCTTTTTAACTGCAGGGTGGAGGTTGGTGCAATTCAGTAGCTTCTTGTTCTTTTCGTAAGGGGACTCCACTAGGATCTTCAAACTTCATGGAACACCAAGTTCAATTTTCTGGGATTTTAAGCAGTGATCCATCTCATAATCCAGGTTAGATATGACTGACTATTGCTGTCACTTGGATTCTTGATTTAGGCATAAAGCTTGTAAAATGGAAACTTTTTTACTACTTTTGACATCAATTAGAATGCAAAATGTTTGGCTAAAAATGTAATTGTACAGGTTGCAACCTTTGGTATCATTCACATTAGGTTCTTTATCCTAACTTTTTCATAGATTGGTTTAAAAAGTTGCTACATTTTTATTCATTATATAAGCATTTAATGCATTGACACTTGTTCAGATTTCTATAACTGGAACAAGGTCAAGATACGGTATTGTGATGGTGCATCTTTTGCTGGGCACCCTGAAAGTGAACAAAAGGTATGTTATTTCGAAAATTTCTTTCAGTTTTTCAAACATGCCACTTTAGTATAAATAAATAAATAAATATTTTGCCTCTTTCAATACTGCTACAGAATGATACTAAACTTTTCTTCAGAGGTCAACTCATATGGGAAGCAATGATGGATGAACTCCTGTCAATTGGATTATCTAATGCTCAACAGGTACATTTTATGGGAATATATATAGCTATATACCCTTTCTGTGGTCAAGTATAGTTATATGATATTTTATTTGAAAAGCTGTTTGTTGATAATTTGACAGGCACTTCTTTCTGGATGCTCAGCTGGAGGATTGGCAACACTCATCCACTGTGATGACTTCAGAGGAGTTTTGCCAAATGATGCTAAAGTCAAGTGTTTATCTGATGCAGGTTTCTTTCTTAATGAGTATGTTGTTCTACATTGACCATTCATTTGTGGTGTATTGGTGCATTAATATTCCAAAGAAAGAAGCTTGGTAGATATAATATATATTTTACTTGCTAGTTTTCTTGAAGATCTAAAAAAGTAATTCTATAAATTTGCAGGAAAGATGTTGCTGGTAATGCCACCATTCAGTCATTTTACCATGATGTTGTCAATCTTCAGGTTTGTCAGTTTATTTGTAACTTGATAGCACAAGTATTTGAAAAAATAACCTCTGTGTATCTTATGTTATAATGTTGTTAAAATATATAGTTTTTTTTTCCTGCTAGGAATTTGTTAAAAGTCAGTATTTTATTTATTTATTTTTTGAGAAATGCAGTCATTAATGATCCAATTTCATGTATCATGATGTCAGGGTGTAGCAGGAAGCTTGAAAAAAGACTGTGTTGCCAAAATGGAACCATCCAAGGTGCCATTTGTCTTTATTCAAGGAATAGCAACATACTTCCATTGATTTGTTTTTTTGTAGTATACTACATATCATTGAAAGTGCATCTATATTTTCACAATTAGTCCTTATTATATCAACTCATGTCTAATTTTGTTATGTAATATTGATCCTTTCATGCAGTGTTTCTTTCCTGAACAAATAGTAAAAAGGACAAATACACCAGTTTTTCTTGTCAACCCAACTTATGACTTTTGGCAGGTATACTTATTATATTGGTTCCCATTAGTTTTATTACTTTTTTTTTTTTTAAATATTATTTTGTTTGTAACAGATAAAACACATTTTGGTACCTGGGCCATTAGATCCTAATGACAGTTGGTACAAATGCCAACTCAGCATTCAAAATTGTGGTCCCCAACAGATTCAAGTACTACAAGGTATCAGATATATGATATCTCTTGTATGTGCAAAAGACATAAATGCCCTCTCCTCATTGGTAAACTATTAAATATCATATGCAGGCTTTAGAAATTCATTCCTGAAGGCATTGTTGGAATTTGAGCAAATGAAGGGTGGAGGAATGTTTATAAATTCTTGTTATATTCACTGCCAAACATGGATGTCTGAGACATGGCATTCTCCAAATTCTCCCAGAATAAATAATAAGGTAATATATTATAATTCCTTCGTCCTTATGAAAATTATCATAAAGTGACTAAAGAGTTAATATTTTGTTTGTTTGTGGTTGAATAGACTATTGCAGAATCAGTTGGTGATTGGTTTTTTGAGAGAAAAGTAACAAAATACATTGATTGTCCTTATCCTTGCAATCCTACTTGCTACAACATGGATTTCACTGGAAAACGATTACATTGAAGATGTGAATGGCATTCAAGTGTTGTATCTACACAAATGCTGCCAAAAAAAAAGGGAATCATCAATTGGATTTTATGTAATTGGGATTGGTTTGTTGTTTTAGGATATGTAATTTTTTAGGATCTTGTTTTTTTCGTTAATTTTGATTAAGATTATTTGAAGTTGTAATAATAAGTTTTCTAGTGTTTGATAAACCTGATTATGATTTTATTTTTGATTTTTTACTGCCAAAATAATTATATTTTGAGAAGTATAATGTAGGAAAGTGTTGCTATGGAGCTAATTTTTGAAATTAAAAGTGGAGTTTTACAATATCCATGCGTTTAATCATTTTTTTTTCTATTATCCGACTCTGATTTTCAAACCATCATGGTGATCACTTTGAAAGTTTGAATCCATACATCCTTTGATTAAGACCCACTGATATGCATCCAATAACTCTTATGGATAGTGATCTGAGCATTTTAATTTTTAACCTTTAAAATACGTTCAATTTAAAGGATTATTACATTTAAATTCTATTTTTAATTATTTTTATATGTATACACGTAATATTTATTCAAATATTGTGTAAAATTCAACTATTGAATTATATTTTATTCTACAATGTTTATTTATTATATAATACAAACTTTAAATTATTATTATTGATTTATTAAAAAAACTTTTTTTAGGATGAGATATGGACACTACAAATTTTTGGTTACGCCATTTGAACGACGAGTGCTCGAACGATATTTGTGGATATGATGAATCAAATATGTAAGTTTTTTCTTGATCGATTTGTTATAGTGTTACCAATGACATGCTAATGTATTCTAAGAGTAAACAGGAACATGAGAAACGAAATATTCGAAGTTCTAAAAAGAGTGAAACTTTACGTGAAGTTCTCAAAATGCAATTTTTAGATATGAGATGTGCAAATTTTCTCCTCTGTTGTACTTCACCCCATGTGGTTGCCTATATCGACTTAGCATGTGTGGAAGAATCCCCCAAACTTTTTAATTTCCAACCTCCTCATAAACAACTTTTTTGTAATATGATATAAGATACTAACAATGTTTTATATTAATTTTTTTATTTTATTATAGAATTATTATTTTATAGTTAATTACAATAACTTAGTTATCTTTTAACAACATATTTGTCAGTATTTTCAACAGGAAAAAAAATGTGAATTCGTCTCATATAAATAAAAAATGTAACATGTCTTAGAATGTGGGCTAAATATTTTTTAGTGTTGGTGGCGTGGTCGTGGTACATCTTGAAACTTTGGGCTGCCCGCTTAACATATAGAATTCTTTATTGGATGGACTACTCGATTGTTCTATTAGAATTAGAAACGCTCCTACGAGCGTATCCGCCGCCCACGACGTTGCCGGACTACTCGCCGCCATCGTTCCGAGGATCCATCGTTCTGGCCAACACCGTCGTGTAACGAAGCGGGTTCCTGTTTCTGATGGAATATGACGAGTAAGTTTTTACTTCATTAGATACCTTTGAAATTTTGATGTTGTTTACGAGGCCTATCGAACGTTACAGTATTTTCTGAGTTCAGATTGATGCTTGAACCTTGTGATACAGATAAAAGAGAGGATGCAATCCTCAGTATTTTATATAAATCAAATTATTTTTCTTAAAAAAAATTATAATTAGTACTCACAGCAAACCCTACGCACGCAGGTACCACACAGATACCGGAAAGAGCTCCCAAAATTGCAGTTCGAAGCTCCAATTTTTGGTTCATGTAACGCCATTAGAGACATGACAAGGGTTCTACAGCGATTCATATGCAAAACCCAGGTGTCATCTCATCTCATTCAACTCCAATTCGGGCCTTTCAACTCCACCACACAACGTCGATGGAAGAAACCAGCAGTCACTGCACAAACCCGGTTGGAAGACAGAACCAGAGACCTGAAGCTCGACAACCTCATGACCAATCTCCGCAAACTCAGCTTAATCCTAAGCTTCCACAGCCTCATGTCTGGTCGTAGAAGAGGACCCTTTGTTTCTGTTCAAATCATGTCTCGTTGGAACAGAATCGTTGGTCTAAATGTACCAATTGGTGGGTTCCTCCGAAAATATCCCCATGTCTTCGACGTATTTCCTCACCCAGTTAAGCGAAACGTTTGTTGTAAATTAACTTCCAAGATGATTCTCTTGCTTCAAGAAGAAAGCAACGCGATTAGAGATATGGAATCAGACACTGTCAATCGGATCAAGAAACTTCTAATGATCTCTGTCACAGGTACTCTCCACATCCACGCGCTAAGATTAATCAAAAGGGAACTCGGTTTACCAGATGATTTCCGTGAATCGATTCTTTCAAAGTACAACGAATTCGAGTTAGTAGATCTGGAAATAGTGAAATTGATCGACAGAGATGGTGTTCCTGAAGATTTAAAGGTAGCCGAAGTGGAGAAATGGAGGGAGAGAGAGTATAAAGAGAAATGGTTGAGCGAATTCGAAACCAAATATGCGTTTCCGATCAATTTCCCAACAGGATTCAAAATCAAAGCGGGATTCAAACCAAAATTGAAGGAATGGCAAAGACTTCCTTACGTTAAACCCTATGAACAGAAGGAGTCTTTTAGGGCTTCGAGCTGTGGAGGGATTGAGCGATTTGAGAAGCGAGCTGTTGGGATTCTTCATGAGCTTTTGAGTTTGACAGTGGAGAAGATGATTGAAGTTGAAAGATTAGCACACTTTCGTAGAGATTTTGGTATTCCAGTTAATGTTCGTGAGGTTATTCTGAAATATCCCGGAATCTTCTACATATCCACAAAGGGTAGCACTCAGATGCTGTTTCTTAGAGAAGCTTATTGTAAAGATTGTCTTGTTTCACCGAATCCTGTTTATATTGTTCGGAGGAAAATGTTGGATCTTGTTTTGATGAGACGTCGGAATACCAGAGAATTGACAAGTCGACCAAGGGATGTGAAGGAGAGTGTTGGTGGTGATTGGAATGGAGGTGGCGACTTAGAGGGTGATTTTGTAATTTCAATTTTAGAAAATTTTGATGATGATAATGAGAATGATCAGTAGGTTTAAGTTTCAATGATCAATTTTATAGGGGCAAAATTCAAAAAAATAACAATATACTTTAATTTCCCTATCATTATAGATAATGTAGTTTATCTTACCAACAATAACAATGTACTTGACTTTCTTTATCTATAATAACAACGAACCTTCATTTTTTAGTGTTAATAGCAATATAGAATATGGAACTAATAATATGCTTACAGTTGTTAGATTATACATTACTAGTATTGATAAAAAAAATTGAAATATTTGTTATTATAGATAATGAAATTTAAGTATGTTGTTATTACGGTTAAAAAGATATCGTATATTGTTGTTATTGGTAATAAATAAATTATGTTTTATAAGTTTTATGTTATATAAAATCAAAGTAATTATGAGATTAATATACCTATGGATTTCACTTAGAAAAAAAAACGTTAAATAATGGATTAAGTTCTATAAACATATTGATTATATCAAAAAAATAAAATATATTACCGATATCGAAAGCTAATTGACCCATGTTGTATAGTCAAATCTGTTACGTGTTTGAGGTTTGACATAAGAAATGACTTGAAATTTTGCGACTTGAAACTTTGCAGTGTGGGCTAGATTGGGTTACTTAATTCAACTTTATCAAGTTCGGATTTTAGATAAAATAATATATATTAGAAATAAATTCTTTCCTACTTATTCTTCATACCCATCTTTCTACTATTTTTAGATGACCGCAAGTGTAATAAAAGTTGAGAAATTAAATATCTTCCTACATTTCATTTCTATTTATCATTCTACCATATCAAATGTTGACATGTGTCACATTTCATGATATATTTAATGAAATTGATAATATTTTAATTTACGTGTCAATATTTGATAATATGAGAATGAATAAGAATAAAATATAGAAGGATATTTAATTTCTCATAAAAGTTTATTAATTTTATTGAATATAACAAGTGACAAAAAAAGATAAGAAGTTTATCATTTTTATATTTTAGTATTAGTTTTAGAGAAAATCACAAATTTACCAAAAAATGTTAATTACTTTATGGAAAATAGTTAAAAAAAAAACCAAAATTGCATTTTTAGCCATCAATTTCGCAGATGGACTGCCTAGTCCATCTGCGATCATATCAGTCCATCTAAGAAAAAAAACATAGCCTACTATAAAAAGATAATTTTTTTTGTTCGTTTTTCACTCTTTTTTGTTGAAAAAACTCTCTTTGGGAAATGATTTTCTTTCCCCATCTGCGATTATGAACGATTTCCAAAGAAATAACAACTAAACTGATAATTTTTTATAAAAGTTTATATATAATAAGATTGTTTCGTAGTCAAACTCTATCAATTTCCTAGTAACATTACAAAAAAATCACATTCGCAGTTGAAAAGGAGAGAAAATCGCAATTTTTAAGGGGGAAATGAGGGTATTTATACAATGAAAAAAAAAAACTCATCTACGAACGTACAAGTGGCTAAAGCACAAACATGTTTTAGCCACTTGTATGTTCGCAGATGGCTTGCCAAAATCACAAATGGGCTTAATCTGTAATTTTGATAGCTAAAAATGCAATTTTGATTTTTTTTTGATTATTTTTCAAAAAATAATTAATATTTTTGGACTAAATTTACAATTTTCTCTTATTTTTAATACAAATACACGTTTTTTTTGAAAGAAAACGTGTTAATGAAGTGGTCAAAACGCAAAGGTCTAACAATAAATTAAAGGAGTAATTGGGGGCGGATCTTCTTCAATATTCGTTCCCCTCTCCCCTCCACGTTGCCGGACACAACTTTATGGTCTCTCTCCCTAATCGACGGTAGTCGGAAACTGGCTTCAACTCCTCCGCATCTTTGTTTGATCGGTAATTTGCTTTCAGTTTTCCTTTTCTTATTCTTTTTGATTGATTTCAATTGGATCGTCAATCGTATTTGCGAACCTGACATTGTTAGCGGTTGATTTCTTTCATCTGAATCATCGGCGATATCGCTTCAATTAACAGGTGAATATGAGTATTCAGAGCCATTTCGATTGCATTTCCTATTCCTTTGAGGCTCAATTGGATGATTGGTTGAACGGATCGTTAGTTTATTAAAATATTAAATACATTGAATGGTTTTATTAATAAAATATCAATCGTTTTGTCTTTAACCTGTTGGTAGAAGTTAAAATTGGAACCTATAAGATATTATATATAGGTCAATTGTGAATCGGATGGTTATTCCTTTTGGTTGGTGATTTTATTCCTGAGATGTTACATACGTTACGATCATTTCTTGGGTTTAGATTTACTCATAGGATGATATATAATTGGAGTTCTGACATAATCTGCTCTTTGGGCAAAGTGTTTGAAACTTCTATTCGTCTTAGCCATATAATTGCATCAGTTCTCTATAGGATATTTTCTTGCCCCTGTCCCTGAATGTTAGACTTTCATACTAGATAGAATGCTCCCCCTTCATATGTTAGTAAATGTATTATAATAAATTTAGTGGTTAAAGGGATAATGGTGAGGCAACAAACATTGATCCGCTACCTTCTTGGTTGAGTTGACATGTAATCTGGGTATGGAAAGTTGTACGCTGCAGCTTAGGAGAAGCCTTATTTTAAGAAATAATTTGGTTTATATCTCGTCCACTTGTATGCATGTACTTATATATATATGCATATATGTATGTATCATATGTAAGACAATCTGAGTGACCAAAGAAGAAACTTTTACTATATCCTTAGCTTGTTGCCACTTTATAGGAATTCAAATATGTTTATTGAGCATCTAGTAGTTGAAGTCTTTATAATGAATGGTAGGCTGATAGCATATCCCTAGTACCACTATATTGATAAAAGAAAAATGTGATATGCAATTGCAGCTTGTGTACACTTGCTAGTGTAAAAACCAAATGGACGAGAAATCTAAAGCTTCATCAGAGAAGGAGGTAAGATCTTGAATCTATTCATATGTTATATTATATCCTTGGTTGTATCACATGCTATATATAAGTAAGCACTTGTTTCATCAGGAAGAAGTCATCAAGAAGAAGTACGGAGGCATTGTGCCAAAAAAGCCCCCACTCATTTCCAAGGTAAGTTTCCGGCTACTTGGAAACTATGGGCTTTAATGGAATTTTAACTTTTGCATTTGATATCAGGATCATGAACGGGCTTATTTTGATTCAGCTGATTGGGCTCTCGGAAAGGTACACACTTTTTTTTTTTTTTTTTTTTCTCATAAGAAAATTTGTGATTAAAACTTGTTACTGTTGACAGCAAGGTGTAGAGAAGCCCAAAGGACCTCTCGAGGCACTTCGGCCTAAACTACAGGTATGTAAAAAATTTGTTGCAGTAGGCCCCGTCTGTTATAGAGATAGGACATGACAGAACAAGTTGTACTGTATGACCTGTACTAATTGTGACTGTGACTGTGATTGTGACATTTTTTTTTTTAACTGTGTTTATTACGATCCAGCCAACTCAACAGCAAACAAGATATAGGAAATCTCCTTGTGCACCAACAGATGGAGAAGGTACATGTGATGCTAAATTTGATGTTCAATTTGACACATAGTTTAAGAAAATTGTTTGTAGTGTTTATTATATCTCTATAATGAGCTTCAATAAAGATAAGTTGCTAATTTATTTGTTGTTTTGGTTGTTTGAATAGATGGAAACAGTACGCCAGCCTCTGATGATGGTTCTATGAATGAATGAGAAAGTGATGTTGAATGTTGATCTTCTCTCTCCCTTTTTCATTTCATGAAACAATAGCTACAAACATATTGTGATACAAGTATGCAACTTGCATTCTTTTTTTTTTAAGTGTTTTTGTTTTTTTTTTGTTTTCTTTCTTTTCAACTTTAATCCATGTTTGAACTAGCTTTTCATTGGGATCTATGAACTGTGCTGCTGTTAAATGGCTCTTTTGCTTTAACTTTTGTGTTTCATCCCTATACCTACACATTTTTTACACCAAAAAATACTCTTTTTTTTAACTTATATATACTGTCAAAAAACACTCTTCAACTTATTAGTTTTTTACATGGTAATTTTTACATCTTTTTTTTGTTGTAAAAATGTTAAAATATATGTACTAATACAAAATTAAAACCAAATAAACGACCCCATTTACTGACATTGCACCTATTGAAGACGAAATCAAAGCACAGACATAAAGACAAATATGCGGTGTTTGAGTTTTAGTTTCAATTTTAATGTAGGGATGTAGGGTTTAGACGTGTGTTTAGATAGTTACTTATAACTTGAAATGACATTAACCTTCTCAACAAATACAAGAACATTTGTGGATTTCTTCAAGTAATTTTATTTTTTGATAAATTCTTACTTTATTTTTTTCCATTGTCATATGATGTGGATGAAAATAAACTTTTCAAAATTTCAATTTTTTTTATTGTTTGTTTCCAAGCTTGTTTTTCTTACCTTATTTTATGAGATAGTTATCATACATATTAATGGTGACACAGAAACATAGTGAGAATATATGGGTGATAAAAGCCCTGTGATTGCATTATCATTTATCAACTTATTAATCTGAATTTCCATGAATTGTAACTTACATTTCTGATTATCTTATCCTCGGAATGTATGACCAAAATGAATCCTTGCTCAAGTTCAATAAATATCATCCAAACCAAATTTTAAGCCAAATATGTCGCAAGCTTATCGATTTCATCTGGGCTTCCGATGAAAATTGGAGTGCGCTGGTGAATCTGTTGATAAACAAAAAAAAAGTTCTTATAAAATAGTTTGGGTGACCCAAAGAAAGTCAAAAGTTACTCGATAACAATTTACCTGGTCAGGTTGAATATCAAGAATCCTCTGGACACCATCAATGGCTTTCCCACCGGCTTGTTCCACCAAATAACTCATCGGTGCACATTCATACAACAACCTCAAATTCCCACTTTTTGCTTTCTCATTCTTAGGGTTACCATAGATACCACCATAAAGCAACATTCTATGAATCTCACCAACAAGACACCCAATATATCTCCCTGAATACGGTTTTCCATTTGGTCCACCTGGTTTTCGTAGATGGTTGAGGTAGTTCTGCAACTTACTATCCCAAAGATCAAAATTCCCTTCGTTAAAAGAGTAAATTCTTCCTGATTTTGGTATCTTTATATCCTCATGTGTCAGCACGAATTCTCCATATGCTGGATCAAGCGTGAATCCATGCACTCCGTTCCCTATCGAAACCGTGAACACCACTGAGCTCGAATACAAACAGTATCCTGCGGCTAATAAGTTGCTTCCAGGCTGACAAACGCTCACGATACACTTCTCTTTAGCCTCATCTAACTAATCATCAAAAAGTAAAAAAAAATAAAAAATGATCAAGTTATTCTTCCAACAATAAGCCAATCCACATTGTAACTGAAACTCCCAACACAGAAGTAATCTACATTGAAACTTTCATATTGCAGACACATACGTATGCTGCTCAGACTCGAACCCTTGACCATTTATGTTAGTTTGAAAATGATAGTATATAAAAGGATTGTGATGGTTGTGTAAGGAGGGGTACCGTGTCATTGTCGTAATCAACGAGGCATTGTTCATCGGGAGCGTATATGCCAAAAATAGAACCGGTTGTTAAGGCGATGTCGATGTTAGCAGATCCATCGATCGGGTCAAACACAACAATGTAGTTCCCAGAATCGGTTTCCTCAACTGCCACAGGCACGTCTTCCTCCTCTGATGCTATGATCCCAGTTCGACCACTTGATCTTAAACAATTGCAGAACAACTACATGTATATGACACCATATATGGTTAAACTTTCAAAAAGGAAACAAACACGTTACTTTGACTTATAGCTTTACATTTTGAAAAGTCAAAACATATACAATATACCTCATTAGAGATGACATCGAGCTTCTTCTGGTCTTCACCCTGGATGTTCATGGTTCCCTGAGCCCCAGTCAGGTTGATAATGCTGGACCTTTGTAATAAGGAAGCAATTTGCTTGCAAGCCAATGAAATGCTTGATAGAACTATGGTTAATTCTGCGTCGATATGGCCAGCTTGTTCTTGCTTTAGTAACCATGTTGTTAGGTTCTCCATTTCGTATCTGTTCTTTCTCTTGATGGGGGTGGGAGTAGCGGCGGGGCTGGCGGGACCAGCTCCGGCTCCGGCAACAGCTTGACAACGGAGAGAGATGGGGTTCCGAGTGAAATATGGTTGTATTTCATGGTGGGAGTGACGGAGGTTGGAAATGGAAGTGGTGGTGGTGGTAGTTGAGAAGAGAGAAGACGGATGCGAAATTAGAATTGATTCAGCCATTGGAGTGTGTGAGGCCTTTGATCGGGGAACTTGTTATCTTTCTTTCTGTAACAAACGAGTGAATATGATTGATGCGATGAGAACAAAGGCAACCCCACCATCATCTCAAAACAGAATATACTTTCTTCTTAACTTCCAAAATCATAAAAAAAGTTCAAATTTTATTTTTATAAATTCAACGTCCCCTATAAGTTTATTTATTTACTAAGTGCAATACCCATGTATTATATGAGTTCATTTTAAAGAAAAAAATATAAAATTCTAAACATTTAAGAAGTTTGAATTTATAGGAAAAAAATTAAAAATATTGAATTATTAAAATTAAATTGTTTGTTTTTCTTTTAAATTAAACAAATAATTTAGATAAATAAACAAAGGAAACTAATGAAACTTTAATTTAGAAATTTTGAAATTAGAAGGAAGTGAATTAATGAAATTGATATGCATTTATTATTACATTTAAATATTATGTGGAAATTAAGAAAATGAAAAAAAACCACAAAATGCCATGTGTAAAAAAATAATAATTGAAAATAACAACAAAATGACATGTGGCCAAATCAATTAGAGTGTGACATGTGACAAAAAGTTCTTTATTTATTAGGGAGGATATTATTAGGGAGGATTATATATATTATTATTAGGGAGGATTATTAGGGAGGATTTATTTTTTAAATTAAAGAAAAAAGAATTAAAAGAAACGAACCATCAGTTTCTTCTACCCATTAAGACTATTTTTAATTTTTTTTTTATTATTATTAACTAGACACCCAACTAAGGCCCCGTTTGGTAGTTGCTGATTGAGAAAGTGCTGCTCGGAAAGATCTGTCTGGGTAATAAATTCTGACTGAGTAAGAAATCATGTTGTTTGATTGTACATCTGACTGAATGTTCTGACCGATGAAAAATGACTATTTTACCCTGCATGGTTGAAGTTGTTGAATAATTATAAAACCATACATATGCTCATTCAATATAAAATCCAAACAAATTATTGCAAAACAGCACAACTCAAAAATCAAAACCCCAACAGAGCAACTATTAATCTACCATTAATTTATTATTAATTTTGTTACAAACTTTTACAATTGCTGACAATCCACAAGAAATTTATATTCTTCTAGGCTACTACTCCAAGAATCCTCAAATCAAGAGCAATATACAAGACTTATAACTTCGTGGTGTACAAATCATCTTATCAGATCATTATATTTTAATTTGGGCTATCATTGTCACAAAATATCATCATGAGCAGTAAATTGCCTACCTCTTGATGGAATATTCATAACTTTTCTTCTTCCACTAGTGCCCTTAGTCTCATTGTTGATGGTTGTGTTACCATCTTTCTTTTCATCTCTGGTATTCACAATCACTGACCCAAACTTGTTCCCTCTTCAATGTTTGGTAAGTGGTAACTCTAGTTTCAATAGCTTTGATGATGATGAAGACTTATTTCTTCTGTGAGATTATAAACTTGATTTTGAAAAATTTGATCGATATCAAAATCTGATCTTCTATGAGATTATAAACCTAGTTGATGAAGGATCATATCCTAGTGGGAATAAAGGATAATACCAGGAAGCGTTCCATGGAATTCATAATCTCCAAAAATAACATTCAATAGAAGATATGTATGTACGTGTTCAGGTATTAAACAACCAACATAAGCACAATCACTTGAAAAATCATAACTTTTATCTCTCTTAACAGCAAAATAACATTAAAGAGCAAAAGATAGTCAAGAACAAACAGAAAAAATCGGAACTTTCCCATTCAGATTTTGAAAAATCAAGAGCACAAATCGGAACAGCAAAATAATCAGAATTTTTATCCCTCTCAACAGTAAAAATTGGAACTTTAATGAAATCGATTTCATGAATTAAGAGCACAAAGGAGCCGCTGAAAGAGGATGAAGAAAGGAGAATGCGTACCTGATGAGAAGAGGAGAATGCGTACCTGATGAGAAGAGGAGAACCTGCGATTGAAGGTGTTGGAAGAATCGATTTCAAGAATCGGTTTCAAAAACAAACTCATGAAGGAGGCGTGAAAGACAAATCGTAAGGAGGACACAACTTGGAAACGCTTCTTCCTTTCTCAGTCAGTCAATTGTTTTCTTCTTACCGGGCCATATCCTAGTGGGAATAAAGGATAATACCAGGAAGCGTTCCATGGAATTCATAATCTCCAAAAATAACATTCAATAGAAGATATGTATGTACGTGTTCAAGTATTAAACAACCAACATAAGCACAATCACTTGAAAAATCATAACTTTTATCTCTCTTAACAGCAAAATAACATTAAAGAGCAAAAGATAGTCAAGAACAAACAGAAAAAATCGGAACTTTCCCATTCAGATTTTGAAAAATCAAGAGCACAAATCGGAACAGCAAAATAATCAGAATTTTTATCCCTCTCAACAGTAAAAATTGGAACTTTAATGAAATCGATTTCATGAATTAAGAGCACAAAGGAGCCGCTGAAAGAGGATGAAGAAAGGAGAATGCGTACCTGATGAGAAGAGGAGAATGCGTACCTGATGAGAAGAGGAGAACCTGCGATTGAAGGTGTTGGAAGAATCGATTTCAAGAATCGGTTTCAAAAACAAACTCATAAAGGAGGCGTGAAAGACGAATCGTAAGGAGGACACAACTTGGAAACGCTTCTTCCTTTCTCAGTCAGTCAATTGTTTTCTTCTTACCGGGCCAGACCTCTCTTACCGAGTAAGATGGACAAAATTGATTTACCAAACAGTTTTGGCTGACCGTGTCAGTCAAAAGTCAAAAACGTCTGACCCGACTCGATCAGACATGTAACAAACAAGGCCTAAATCTAAGTTTTATAAATCATCAGCAATATATGAACTTAACCAAACCCAATTTTCTATTTCACAGTTAATTTCACTTAATGATTAAAACAGCTTGCCCTTAATTTGCAACTATTACAGTTATACTCTATCTATACAAGTATAAATTTTGGTATTTCTTTTAAATCTTAAATAAAGATAATATTAATTTTTTTTATCTAAATAAAATACAAGCACCCAATAATAAGTTGACATATTGAAATAATTATAATGTTAGACTTTTAGATAATAAGATGAAACCGACAAATTTATATTTATAAAGATGATATTGACAACTCCATATAAAATTAAAATAAACAACAAATTACAAACAAATATGTGAAATCCAAAATCACTTAATGATGTATCTTACAAATAAAAAGTTACATAGTACCATATCTTACAAACACATGAAATACAAAACTACATAAGGAAATAGCATATAAAGGCATTACAAAAATAAAACACAAATTGAGCTATAATCAACTTTCATAAAACTTTGACAATAGATAGTGTTTCTTATTCTTCACGTGACAAGTGCTCCATTTGTAATGGTATATTCAAATGCACAAGTTGCATATTCTTTAGCTCCCTTTCCTCCATTTTGCTATAATTCTCCGTTTTTAGCTCCTTTTCACTATCTCTAGTAAGCCTCGGTGCATGGAGTTCTATAGCAATTTCGTTAGAAGCATTAAAATTTTATTTACTTTTGATATTGTCCATGATGAGTCACACAACTCTTCTGATTTTGTCGTGGGACATGCACTTGTGACAATCACACATGTACTTGTCAAAGTACTCCAAAAAGATGGTTGAAACGACACCATATGAGAGATGGACAGAGAAAAGTCCTAATTTTTCTTATATTAGAATATGAGGATGTGAGGCTATGTGAAACGTTAATAATCGAAAACGTTAGGTCCAAATTCTAAAGATTATAGATTTGTTGGATATCCTAAAATAACCACAAAATATTACTGCTACAGTCTATTCGAAAACAAATTGTTTGGTACAAGGGATGCTAATTTCGAATCGTGAGCGTTTCATTCCTTACTCTGAAACCATTGTGATTTACGTTATTCATTTGGCTGTGAGATAGTTAGTGGACGCCCACGAGCAAAGGGATGATCTAATTAACTTAGAGTAGGAGAGTGGGGATTTGTACCTCACTGACATGCCAATTTATACATGTAACATGATTAAAATTAATTAATGTTTTGATATAAAAGAGAGAAAAACTATGGTCAACGTGCATTTTAGCCAAAAAATACCACTTATCCTATTTTAGCCACTAAAACCGTAAGTTTCTTAGGAAAACCTATGGTCAACGTGCATTAACTACGGTCAATGTAACAAAAAAAAATAGACTACTCTTTCGGGCAATGAGCTATTATTTCAGGGAGCATCTACTCTTTCAGGACCTATCAGCCTATAGTATATAAGTATTAGTTTTCAGATTTCTTCATTTTGACTACTCTTTCAAGTTTTTGGCCATTATTTTATCTCAATGAAGCCTTCAAAGAACAACTAGGTATGTTTCGATTCTTGCTATAATTTTAGCTTATTCTTGATTAGGACTAGGTTTTATACATATAATATTTAAAAAAAACAGGAAAAAAATATGAAACCGTAGGCTTCATACGAAACCTACGATGTACAAGTAGACAATGCATAGATTGTGCATCGAATGCTTGTACATCGTAGGTTTCGTAAGAACCTATGTTTTTTTTTTTTTTTTTTTTTTTTTTTTTTTTTTTTTTGCTTGCAAGTTGTATATAGTTGTATTATCATGGACATATGATGATTTAAAAAAAAAACAAAAAAAGGGACACCGTAGGTTTCATAAGAACGTACGGTGTACAAACAGTTAATGCACAATTTGTGCATCGGCAACTTGTACACCGTAGGTTGTTATGAAACCTATGGTTTTGGTCAATTTTGTTTTTCATTGTGGTTTTCCTTTTTAGCAATATTATAAATAAGTTGCTTGTAAATTGTATATAATTGTATTATCGTAGGTCATACACCAACATTTGCCCATCTTATTCTTTTAATACCAACATCGAAATCTTTAATAATATATGTTTTGCAGGTCTTCCAAAACATTACCTTCATTGTGTCGTTGTTTCTGAATTTAGCTACAATGTTGAAATACAAATGGATACCACATATTCAATGAAAG